TAGAGGGAAGGCATCTACTCATCACCACCCACCGCCCACTCTTTTACCAACGAATAGTGGGATTGATCGTCACATTATAACGCTCCCACGGCTGAAAGGGCGAGAATGTTTGATGGGATTTGAACCCGTGACCCGCAGATTGCTAGTGGAGCGACCTAACCACCTGGACTTTTACGAACCAACACTGAAAATTGACTGGTATAAGAAGATTAAAATATGATCGACGTTAAATTTAATTTTCTTTGCAATACTTTTATTATAGAGGCCGTTGTTCATTAATAGTTTAGTTCTAGCCTAAATCCCCCAAATTAGTCTCACTCATGACATGTTAGTGGGGTACGTCAGGGTTCACTCTTAGAACTTTTGCTCTTTTTGATTTACATCAGTGATATAGAGGAAGGAATGGTCAATAAATTACTTAAATATGCAGATTATATTAATGTCTTGGGTGTTGCTAACAGTGAAGAGGATGCTGCTGATTTACAAAGGATTTAGATCATTAATGAGTTTGGCAAATGGATTTTAATTATAATAAATGCAATATAATGCACGCGGGTTATCATAATTTGAATTACAAGTATATTTTGGATGGGAATAACCTCAACAGTGTCATGATTTGTTTGTTTGTTTGGAATTTCATGCAAAGCTACACGAGGGCTATCTGCGCTAGCCGTCCCTCATTTAGCAGTGTAAGACTAGAGGGAAGGCAGCTAGTCATCACCGCCAATTCTTGGGCTACTCTTTTTACCAACGAATAGTGGGATTGATCGTAACATTATACCCCCCCCCCCACACACACACACGGCCCGTGACCCGCAGATTGCGATCGAGTGCCCTAACCACCTGGCCATGCCGGGCCCTAGTGTTTTGAAAGAAAGGGATCTTGATGTAATAGCTGATCAGTCTCTAAAGCCATCCAAACAGTGTACTGTTGCTAATGGTAGGGTAAATAGGATTTTAGGTTGTATCTTCAGAAATATTGAATACAAGTCCAAAGAGGTTATAATTTCATTGTATAGATCACTGGTTAGGCCACATTTGAAATAGTGTGTTCAGTCTTGGGATTCTTACCTTAGGAGAGACATTGAATTGATTGAAAGGATTCAGAGAAGAGTCTTGGATGAAAGAGTTGTAACTCTGAAATTGTTCTCTCTTGAAAAAAGAAAAGTTAGGGGGATCTGATTGAGGTGTTTAAGATTGTAAAGAGAATTGATGGCGTTGGTGCATAGTCTCTTCTCATGCTTAACAGTGAGAATAGTAGGACTAGGGGACACAAATATAAATTTTGGCAGCTTAGGAGTAATCTTCAGCTAAGACAATTTTATTTTTCTAATACGGTGGTTGGCCTTTGGAATGGGTTGCCTTCGGATGTTGTAGAAGCAGTAAATTTAAGTGAGTTTAAGAGAAAGCTTGATAAGTGTATGAACAATAAGGGCTGGCTTGGAGATTTTTGAAATGTATTTATTAATAGTTTTAGTTTAGTTTTGAAGATGGAACAGCCGAGATGGACCAATAGGTCCATCTGTTGTTCCAAACCATTATGTTAAGGCCGAAAATGTCGTTAGCACTTAGCAGTGATTTTTTTTTTAAATTTCACACAAAACGAGTCGAGGTCTATATAAGCTAATGGTCCCTTTTAGTAGTAATAGACTAGAAGGAAAACACCACCCACCACAACCTCTTAGCTTACTCTTTTTCTCAACGAATTGTGTGGTTGAGCGTAAAGTTATAGCATACCCATGGCCGGAAGGATGATTATGTTCAGTGACAAGTGTACGCCTGCCTCTGGGGTAATTGCCTCAGAGTAGGTTCCCCTTACATGTATTTTACATGATCTGTTATCCAAGAAGTTAGATAGCCAGCGAATAATCACCCGTGGTAGTTCCAGTTCTGACATGCGGAACCTGAGACCATTGTGCCATACAGTGTCGCCTGCTTTCTCGACGTCGAGAAAGCAGGCGACAGTGCATTATTTTTTGTTAAAGCTATCAATTATTGTTTCTGTTAGTCTAACCAGATGATCTGTCGTTTGTCTGAATTTTCTGAAACCATTTTGTGTTTCTGGTAATTTAGAAGTGACTTCTAGGTAATTTGATAGTCTATTGCTTATTATACGTTCTAGAATTTTGCCTACACAGGTGGTTAGGCGGTAGTTGTTTGGTTTATTTGCTGGCTTTCCTTCTTTATGGAACATGAGTACTATCGCTTGCTTCCAAGAAACCGGGATATATCCAGATCTTAGTGATAAATTAAAGAGTGCTGTAAGATGTCCATATATTCTCAGAGTGCCTTTTTTAAAAAGGATGGCCTGTATACCGTCTTCGCCTGGTACCTCGTTTTTGGTGGTTTTAATGGCTTGATGAACTTCTGTTTCTGTTATTGTTTTAGCTAGTAAATGTGTGACTGGGTTTACTATTTCATTTTGTTCGATATTTGTGTGTTTATTGGAAATTTAGGTATGTACGTGGTTATGTTTTGTTTGATGTAATTGTTTACTTTGTTGTAAAAATTTTCATTCATGTCTGGTTCATTGTGTGTTTTGTAGATGTTCTTTGAATACTTTAGTTTTTTCTGTGTTAGTGTATACATAGCTT